AGAAGTCAACATGACAAATGACCTGGCACCCGAGCTGCGCAGGAGGAAGAGAGCGGCTTGGAACACCTTCAAGAGCATTGAAGAAACAGCTAAGAGGATGAAGAACCTCCGGCTCTGGGCACATCTCTTCGATCCCATTGTTCTTCCTGCATTAACATACGCCTCAGAGACCTGGGCCCTACGAAAACAGGATGAGAACAGTATTTGGGTCTCCAAAAGAGGAATCAAAAGAGCTATGGTTGGAGTATCACGCTTCACTCAAATGAGAGAAAGAAGCCAGAGTTCTGACCTCCATTGATGTTCAAGAATCAGGGACGCTATCTCATTTGCCAAGGTGTCGAAAATCAGATGGGCTGGACACGTAATGAGATTTGGAGATGACCACTAGACTAGAGCCATTACCAACTGGATTCCACGGGACATCAAAAGATTGTGTGGCTGCCCACCCACAAGATGGATCGACTTTTTCGTTAGGACCCTGAACGATTGGTTTGAGGCTCTTTGTGTTCCTAGAACAAGCAGACGCCACTGAGCTACATTAGCACATGACAGAAATGAATGGACACGTTACTGGGGCCCACTTGAGCAAATCGATGAGTAAAGTGAGGTCAAGTGATAAAGTAACCTGATTCTATACCAAGACTTCCCTCCACCAGTGTACATTTCCCATCACCAATATCCTGTTTCCCTCTCACTACCCTCCACACCCCAGCCTGCCTCTATGACACGCAGTTCTCTCTCTCTCTCTCTCTCTCTCTCTCTCTCTCTCTCTCTCTCTCTCTCCTCTTTCTCTCTCTCCTCTCTCTCTCGTCTTCTCTAATTTTGAACACTATGTTTTGCAATACAGATGCTAAGAAGTTATCACATTTGTTCCCTTACCTATTATTCAGCAAGATTTATAAGGCACTGGTAGAATTTTACAATAAAAAAAAAACCTAAACCCATCAAAAAATGGGGAGAAAAAATGAACAGAAACTTCCTCAAAAAAACACAAACAGCTAGAAGGCACATAAAAAATGCTCTACATCACTAATCATCAGGGAGATGCAAATCCACAGAGGGTGGCACATATCAAAAAAGAACAAGCATAATCAGTGTTGGTACAGATGTGGGGAGAAAGGGACTCTCATTCATTATTGGTGGAAATGTCAGCTAATGTTTTGTCAAGAGTTCAGAGCATGAAATGGAATAGACAGTCTTTTCAATAAACAGTGCTGGGAGAATTGGATAACCACATGCAAGAAATTAAAGCTGGATCCATATCTCACACCTCAGATGAAAATCAACTCAAAGTGGATCAAAGACCTTGAGATCAGACGTGAGTCTATTAAGAATATTAAAGAAAATATAGGTACAATGCTCTAAGGAGTTTTCAACAGTAAGTTGCCACTGTTGTAGTCAATATGCCAAACACAGTAACAACAAGTCTCACGATGGAGATATTACTGGGCCTGCTCCAGCAAATTAATGAACAACAGGAGGACCTGACCATGACCATTAAGTTGCCACTGTCAAAGGCTATAAAATCAAAACTAACAAATGGGACTACTTCAAAGTTAAATGTTTCTGTATGGCAAAAGAAACACTAAAACTAAACAATAGCTGAGTGGGAGAAAAATGTTTGCTTTTCTTTTCTTTTGCCACTTCCTTATCAATGCAGGCTTGTATTTTGTCTTCCAGTTTATCTATGTGGTTCTCTATGGCTTGCTATTGTATTCTTTTGTTCATTTAATGGAATCTCTCATTTTTAAAATCAGTTCTTTGAGTTAGTCTAATTTCCTGTCTAGTGATTGCTTAATTTCACTGGCCAATGCTTGCATAATTTCTATTGCCAATGTAGGGAGTGTTGATTTCAGGTCCTCACTGACCAAGAGTTTTAATGGTCTTGGGGATCTCTAACTGAAACAGTAGCTAGGCTCCTAGTTCCCTGACTGTTCTTTGAGTTTCATGTGGGTTAATAGTGGAGGTTTAGATTTCCAGTTACTTAAGAACTGATCTGTTCATTTGTTTATACCAGAGAGCTACTGATAATGCCTCTGTTGTTTGGATTCTTTCCTTTACCATATAGTGCTATTTGAGTGTGACAAGGGTTCTTCAATTGTCACTCTATTAAGTTAACTGGACAAGGGGTTTTTCAACTGTCACTGTTTAATTTACTGAGATTTATGACTGTATAAGGTTCATGAAGTATGGTTGTTGCATTTCATGGGCTTCAATATGATGAGTGTATTCTGTAATAATTTTGCATGAACACTCTAGCATTCACAAGATTTGGGGTTTGGATAATTAAAGCTGATGTCAAATGGTATAGTTTCCTGATCTAGGGGCTGAGAGCCATGAAGAGGAGGTTCTCAGGGTCCCAGACACAAAGCCATTTGGAACCCTGCCTCGGGGAGAGGAAGGAGTTTCCAAGCTCAGTTTTAAAATTATTTTCTATATTGATTTTGATCAGTCTCATGCATAAAATGTTCAGAAATTTTCTTATATTTTAAAGATATAGAGAAATATTTTTCAAATTCTTTTCTTTAACTCCCATCATGACCCACCACTACCATCACCACTCTAGATGGGAAGGTAAAGAAAAATGCTTCAATTCAGTGTGGCTATGATAGTTAGGGCTATGCCTAAAGTGTGTGGAGCTATGAAATTTGTTGAAATGAACTCACACTATGCACAAAAGTCGATTTAAAATGGATTAAATACCTTGACATCTGACTTGAATTGATAAATTATATTGAAGAAAACACAAGTAGAATCCTTCATGACATTTAATCTAGAGGCACCTTGAATGACTCAACACCATAGGCCAAGCAAATGGAAACAAAGATAAACAAATGGAACCTTAGCAAATTAAGAAGCTTCTATACTACAAAAGAAAAGATGACTGTAATTACAAGACATTTCACAGACTAGGAGAAAATACTCCTCTAACATTCATCTACCATGAGGTTTATATCCAAGGTATATAAAGTAACAGTAAATCTTAACAACAAGAGAAAAAATAATCATATTTTCAAAAACTGGGGTGACTGGATGAGTAGACACCTCCTTGTAGAAGACACACAGATGGCTTAGTAGTACATTTTTTAAAAAAGTTTTACATCACTTATCATCAGAGAAATGCAAATCAAAACAACAATGAACTCTACACCAGTGAAAGTGCCACAAATAAACAAACAAACAAACCAGAGTTAAAGTCGATGTGGTAAAAAAAAAAAAAGGAACCCTCATTCACTGTTGGTAGGGACGTTGACTTGCACCTCTGAGTTTAAAATCTACCTTGCATGTAATTCTTCATTCTATCATCACTAAATCAGTCATTTCATTTCATTTCATTTCATCATCCTGTTATTCATCGATTGCCTCGAGCAGGTCCCAGTAACGTCTCTTTCATCCTAGCCCTGAGATTATATTCAAGGCTCTTTAGGAGAATGAGACCCATCATTGTTACTGGTATTTGGCATATTTGGTACGCCATGGGGAGTTTGCCAGACTCTGCCCTGTGGGCAGGCTACATTCGATAGCCTGCAAGTTTGTCCAAAGTAGGAATAAGATAATAAGATGTCATAAAAAGATGTCCTGATAAGATGTCGCGCGGCCGCAAATGTGGCCGCGCGGTTCCAGGAACTGGATTTTATAGTCTCTGAGTCTTGGCCGTTGATGGGAATACACGGCGCCAGGGGGCCAGGTGGTGGGTGTGACCCCCACCTACTGGAATTTGGAGGATCTGGGTGGAGGATGCTCGACTCCAATCCGAGTAGGCTTGGAGGTCTTGGTCCCGGAACCCGCGTGGATTTGTCCCTCTGCCAGTACCTTCATGTGTGTGGAGAGTGGTCTTAGCATGGTGGTGGCTGGGCCTGGAGGTCTTCGGCTGCCGGAGCCCTGGTCGGGGCGGGGAGGAAAGCTCAACCCGCTCCCCTCCAAGGGGCCTCGGCGAGGAACAGCCAGGCGCGGGGGCAGAAGACTATCAGTCATATTTTTTGCAATTCACAGAAAGAAAATCCCCTATTATGATCAGAGAGTAGCACTGTCCTCTCGTTGTTCATCGATTTGCTTGAGCGGACACCAGTAACATTTCACAACAAATTGTGAGACTTGCTGTTACTGTTTTTGGCATATTGAATATGTCACGGGAGCTTGCCAGGCTTTGCCGTGCGGGCGAGATACTCTTGGTAGCTTGCCGGGCTCTCCAAGAGGGGCAGAGGAATCAAACCCAGGTCTGCCATGTGCAAGGCAAATACCTTACTCACTGTGCTATCATTCCAGCCCAATGAGAGAATAAAACAATTATTTTAAAAGACAAATTCCCATACAATTTCCACATCAGCAATCCTTTTGTCCTTCAAACTTATTTCAGGTATGTGTTGGGGGGAGAGTCCATACATTCTGTGAACTATCTCAGATTTCTGTATTTTCACAACAGATAATTTCTAAGAATGACAATAAACTGTTAATCACCATATGTTGATAAAACCCACATCTAAAGAACTTCATATTTAATGGTTCAATTCATTTAGATATTTAAATTTTATACTTTCATCTGTCAACTAGATATACGAGAAATGTGTCTAATCCTTTAAGGTTTCTGTTGCGAGATATGAGCAGACACAAAAGATGATGTGTTCTTCACAAATCAATAACAAAAGCAACTCTGAATATTATATTCAGTCACCTTCATTATAACACCAGGAAAAAAATAGAAATAAAAGCCTTCAAGCTATTTGTGAATAGTGAATAGAAAGATCTAAAGTTAAGAGTATATCCTCCTCCTCCCCTTTATAACACATGGTTTTACAAACACCTTAAGGTGTTTACAAAACACTTTATTCTCCTTATAAGACAATTTATTCTCCTTAATTATGCATATGACAATTAACTTGCAAAGCTACTTAGCATACAGAAAAGGCAAACATTCATTCCCAAAACTTCCTTAATATATCAAAAGCAAAGCAGTGTGTGAAGAAGAGGCGAGAATGACCCCTGGACCAACCAAAGCCTTTGCACCCCACGTCCAGCGCCCACATCCTGCCACTGTAGCCACCATGCCCAAGAGAAAGGCTGACGGGGAAGCCAAAGGAGATAAAGCCAAGGTGAAGGATGAACCACAGAGAATATCTGCAAGGTTATCAGCTAAACCTGCTCCTCCAAAGCCAGAGCCCAAGCCTATAAAGGCCCCTGAAAAGAAGGGGGAGATGGTACCCAAAGAGAAAAAGGGTAAGCCTGATGCTGGAAAGGATGGAAATAACCCTGCAGAAAATGGAGATGCCAGAAGAGACCAGGCACAGAAAGCTGACGGTGCTGGAGATGCCAAGTTAAGTGCGTGCATTTTAGATAACTGTGTACTTCTGGTGACTGTACAGTTTGAAATGCTATTTTTAATCAAGTTTATAAAAATGCAAAATTTTGTTTTACTTTTTTTTTTAAGCTATGTTGTTAGCACACAGACTTCACTGTTGTTTTGGGGGAAGGGCATAAGTCACCAATGGGTGGTCTCCAAAACTGGATCGCCCTGGGGAAAAACAACTTTTACCCACTAGTTTTGAGGGACTTTGTCTTGACTTCCAAGAGGAGGGATTCCTTGACTTGACACGGTAGCCACCCTGGCACCCAATGCCGTGTGGTGGGGAAAAACTAAAATGTGTTTCTATGTCCTGTCTCCCTCTCTGCCTTCAGCATAGACTTGACTCCCTTTGCCCCAGAGAAACCTGTTTAGCCTGGACTCCAAAAAAGTAGTTACCAAGATGTCAGGCCATCTGGACTTTGCAGTGCCCTGACAGCCCTCAAAAGAACGGTTCTTTTTTAGATTGTGGGTCTTCAGATTGATCATTCTGCCATTTTTCTTTCATTTCTTGAAAGTCAGGGTTGGCTTGTGAAAAGCTGTTAAACAACATACTAAATGTGAAATGTCAACCGTCACTCTAAACTTTCACTGTTCAGATCATCAAATGAAGATGTCGCTGGGTTTGATAGTGGCTTTTTGATTTTGGTAGTTCATTGAAGAAGGGAGTTTGAAAGTTATTGTACACTGTTAATGATTGTCTGCTCATGTCCTGCCTGAAATACCATGATTGTTTATAAAAAGTATCTTTAATAAAGCTGGATAAGGTTTGGCTTGGAAAAAATAAATATATATAAAAGAGACATATTCTTTAAAATTACCAACTAAAAGAACTTTAATAAGAAATCAAAATATGTTTTTAAAAGGAGTCAAACTTTTGAGTGTAATATAAGACCAGTGTAATAATTTGAATGTCTTAATTTTCCATAAAATGGAGAAATCAGTGAAATGGTTTTCCAAAATGAAATGAATTATGCAACTGCACATAGTTATCACAAAATTTATTATAATTTGGGAAAATCTGGGTGACAGTTCACATAAAATACTCAAACACCTAAGAACTTATTTTTTTCAAAATTTAATCACAGTGATTTAAGACAGCTATCAGAATTCCCTTTCGTCTCATATGGTCATTGAAAGTACTGTGTGACAATGAAATGGCCATCAGCAATTATGGGGTTCTTCTATGAAAAAGCTAAGCTGAAGATTCATTTGTTCAATTTACAGTTGCTTTGTACAGCTATTTGGGGAACAAGTAGGTGCATGGTACATAAGGCTGATTTGTGATGTAGATTGTGCCATAGTAATTCCAGCATAGGAATTACTAGGAAATAAGAGTCAGATCTCAGTGATGTCTATTTCACAAAGCTCTTTTCTGTCATTAATATCCTTAAAAGGGTAACATAAACAATCCAAGAGTAGCATGAATAATTATATGTCCTTATCCTTTCTTGACGAGAATACCATGAAATAGATGTGTATGAATTCTTTTTTCTGTATGGCACAAGAGAATACCATGAAATAGATGTGTGTGAATTCTTTTTTCTGTATGGCACAAACTATATCAGTACTACAAAAATAAGGAATGTCTTATATCTGAAGAGAGATTACTCTAATTAAGTTGTCTGCTTTGCATGTGGTTGACCAGAATTGGATCCCAGGTTCCCCATAGGGTCTCCTAAACCCCACCAGGAGTTAACCTGAGTGTAGAGCCAGGAGTAACCCCTGAGCACTGCTGGGCGTGGCCCCCAAACAAACATTAACAAACGGAGTGTCTATTGATATCAGCAATCAAATGAATAAGAAAAGCTGCAAATGCATCACAAATATCAACTATTTAAAAATTCTTGGTTAATCTTGCTAGAGAAAAGTACAGTCCAGTATCTATAATCTCCTGACACAAAAACAGTCAGTTCAAAGAAAATATCACAAAGCAGAATCAAGTAGTATATAGTTAGGAAATATCGGAGAGGTTAGACAGAGCTCAATGGGCTGAGGGCATCTTTACATGTGGGAGGCCTAGACTTAATCCTCTTCTATACATGGAAGAACATTACCTGAAATGACCCCCAAAAACACGTCTGAAAAATAAATGTAAGGGGAAAAGTATTATAAAGAGTATCAAGGTAATTAACAATACTTTCCTCCCAACTTTTGTGTCTTTAATATTTGTGATCTTTAAAAATGTGTAGTTTATTGGAATTCATTATAAATAGTGGATCCTCACTATCTGCAGATTAAACATTTGTAAATTTGCTTACTAGTTAAGTTTACTTGTAACCTTAAAGCCAGTACTTAAGGTGCATTCTGCACAGCACAATGAAAAATGTGAGTTATTTGATAAACACAGATCTCAGCTGAATTAAAATAAAGCAGCACTTTGTTTCATCTTGTATACTCTAAGCCTATATCCTTTTTCCAAAAATTTTGTGGTATATTTTTGCACCATTTCCAAACAATTTCAAAGTGCAGAATGGCCCTTAAACAGAGTGTACAGTGTTATCTAACTTCCTAAGAGCAAGTAAAATATTATGCGCCTCATAGAGACATTAGTGTGTTAATGAAACTTATTCAAGTATGAGTCACATTCCTGGGAAATTTATTAAAAGGATATGAAAATACTAACTTGAAGGGCATTTAAACCTTTAATGTTCATAATTTTATTATTTATAATAAAACATGGATTCAATATAAATACTCATCAGATGACAAGATAAAGAAACTGATATTTATAAAAATATATGAATAACTCAATAAGATACTACTCTATCATTAATGATAAAGTCATGCCTGCCCACAACATGGATGGACCCCAAGTTGGTAATGCTAAACAAATTAAGTCAGGAAGTAAAAGACAATTACCAGGTGGCTTCACTCATATATGGAACACAAATAATCAAAGCAACAAATGGGCAAAACACAACAAAATAAATACCCTCAAGAAACTATGATGGCTGCTATAGAGAAAGTGGAAAGTAGGTAAAAGAAAGATCATATTTTGATAGTGTAAAACCAATAAAACTTTGATGTGAGTTGTAGTCAGACGTGTACCTACAGAGGTGTGAAGATATAATAAAACTTTAGAGAACTGTAAATCAATGGTAAATCAATAAAATTTGATATACAAATAATTTGTCCTATAAGAGAAAAATGGAATCAGACACATCCGATGTTGGAGGGTTTCTCCACAATCTCAAATATATATTTAGTTTTGGGCCACATACAGCTGTATGGCCTGTTATATTCCATTCTAAAGAAAAGTTACAGTTACTGGAAGCCATACAGGAAAAGAGAAGTTAGTTACTTCTACAATATTTTTTTTTCCAGTTGAAAAGTCAAATCTCTAGCCTCCTTTAAAAAATACTGATTTTTTTCATTTTCACATCCTCATTTTTCTACTAAAAAAAGAATCATTAATCTACCAATTTCAGTAAAAGCTCTTTTCAAAACCCCTTTCCTCTTTCTACTTTTTACAGACTTTAAAACTTCCACAAGAAAATCAGTTCAATTCTCCTGAAAAATTCCTTTTTGTGCTAGGTAGCAACACTGTAGCACTGTCCTCCCATTGTTCATGGATTTGCTCAAGCAGGCACCAGTAACCAGTAACGTCTCCATTGTGAGACTCATTGTTACTGTTTTTGGCATATCGAATATGTCACAGGGAGCTTGCCAGGCTTTGCCATGCAGGTGAGATACTCTCGGTGGCTGTCTGGGCTGAGTGGGGTGGAGGAATCGAACCAGGGTTGGCCGCATGCAAGGCAAATGCCCTACATGCTGTGCTATCGCTCCAACCCTTCATGGTAGGTAGGAAAAAAAATTTAAAAGTCATCCTGTATCAGACAGATGACTTCACGATAAAATGAGAAACATCTTTGAGGCATAAGCTGTTTACCTTAATAAGAAGGTCTTTTTTACCACAGTAGCCATCTTCAAAATAAAGTTAAAGCACTAAATTATACAATCTCTTGTATTATATGAGCTGAGAATATAAAATTATAGTGTACATTCTAATAGGCACATTGACAAGTTAATCTCTTCCATGTGATGCAGAGGTCTAGGAAAAGGACAAATAGTGTTAAAATGTGTACTCAAAATGAAAATATCAACAATGTGCAATTTTATTTACTTATATGGTTTGTCTGGAGCGATACAGTAGGTAGGGCACTTGCCTTGCATGCGGCTGACCTGGGTTCGATTTCTCCATCTCTCTCAGAGAGCCTGACAATTCCTCTGGCCCTCTCGGAGAGCCCAGCAAGCTACCGAGAGTATCTCGCCTGCATGGCAAAGCCTGGCAAGCTACCCATGATGTATTCAATATGCCAAACACAGTAACAAGTGTCACAATGGAGATGTTACTAGGCCTGTTGGAGCAAATCAATGAACAAAGGGAGGACAATGACAGTGATACATACTTACATATATATATGTATACATATATATGTATACGTATTGTAGCACTTTCTCAACTGTTATTTTTTTTTTATATAGCACAAGGGTAAAGACCAATACAGCATGGCACTTAAAACAGCTAAGTAGGAATAGGCAATGTGGCTTAGGTGGACACATCCTTTGCTGATTGTCCTGGGTCAATTCCTGGCACTTGCAAGACCAAGACTTTCATCCATGTTCACCCCCAACTCTCAGAAATCACTGGGAATGTCTCCGGTCGTAAACTCTACAGGATGTGGTGCCGACAACTTTTAAAAACCTTGTTAAATATACATTCATTTGTATATGATCCTTTGCATATATATTATATGTATGTATATATGTACATGGAGCGATAGCACAGCGGGTAGGGCGTTCGCCTTACAAGCGGCCAACATGGCCGACCAGAGTTCGATTCCTCCGCCCCTCTCGGAGAGCCCGGCAAGCTGCCGAGAGTATTCGATATGCCAGACACAGTAACAACAAAGTCTCCAATGGAGACGTTACTGGGCCCGCTCGAGCAAATCGACGATCAACGGGAGGGCCTTTACCTTTACCTTTACCCTATGTTTACTTAAGAGAATCATTAACAAATGCTAAATAAATACATTTTAAATAAATAAATAAATAAAATAATCAAGTAGTACACATTCATAAATAAAAAACCTTTAAAATAAACACAAAGGGGGCTGGAGCAATAGCACAGCAGGTAGGGCATTTGCCTTGCACACGGCCGACCCGGGTTCGATTCCCAGCATCCCATATGATCCCCTGAGCACCGCCAGGGATAATTCCTGAGCGCAGAGCCAGGAATAACCCCTGCGCATTGCTGGGTGTGACCCAAGAAGCAAAAAATAAATAAATAAATAAAATAAACACACAAAAGACTAAGACCATAATATAAATACTTAGTTCATTCTGCCCAAGCCTAATAGCATATGTAGGGCAGTTATCAGACTACTATAATCTTTTGGGGGAGACTGGGGTGGTTTGGGCCACATCAGGGGTTTGGGGGGCTATTTCTGGCTCTGAGCTCAGGAGTGACTCCTGGAAGTGCTTGGGATTTGAACCAGGGACAGACACATACCTTATCTTCTACACTCTGTTTACCTCTGTTTAGTCTTTATTCTTTTGTCCTATATTTGTTTGGAGACCACATCTGGTAATGTTCCAAAGCTATTCCTGTATGGTGCTCAGAGTACCATGAACTGCCAGGGATGGAACCCAGGCTC